TAAAAAAAAAAAAAAAAAAACAAAAAAAACAAAAAAAAAAGAAAAAAAAAAAAAAAAAAAAAAAAAAAAAAAGGCAATATTAATATAATTTGACCAGAAAAAAAAACAAATTGACATAATCATCATTATTATTATTATTTAATTTGAAAAACAACAACAACAACAACAAAATTATTAATCACTTTTACTCGTTATATTTTCCTTTCTCCATAATATGCATTATTAATAATGTTGTTGTTTTTTTTTTGGTTTTTATAAAATTCTTTCAGTTTTTTATTATTATTATTCTGTTTTTAACTACAGACATGTGATTGTTGTTGTTGTTGTTGTTGTTGTTTTTAAATGGCTAAAACAAAATTGCCCATTTTTTCGGGAATCACATTTCAATCTGATTTTGATTTGTTTTTTTCATTCATTCATTTTATTAATCTTAATCGAAAATTTTGTCATAAGATATTTTCATCATCATCATAAATAATTTTTTTTTCAATGTTGCATGCAAATGACATTTTCCAAATTGAATAATTCTTATTGTGTGCGTCTTTCTTTCTTGTGTTGATGAAATTATTAATCCGCAGTGATTCATTAGGGGACAAAATGAAAGAAGGAAAAAAAATAAAGTAAAAATTTCAGAATATTTACCAGAAAATCTTGAAGATTTTTGATGATAAATGATGATCGATGCAAAAGAAGAAGAAAAAACAAATAAAAAAAACAGTTACGAAAAACAAAATAACAATAAAAAAACCCCGAAATTATACTTGAAGATCAATCGGGAACCCAGATATTCACAAACAAAAACAACAACAACAACAACAACCAAGACAAATCAAACTGGAAAAATGTCGGCGGCAAAAATAATAAAGAAAATACAAAGAAAAACACAATATTCGAGTAAAACTTTCTTTTTTCTTTTTTTAGTTCTTGAAACAACACTGAACACAAACAAATATCAGATATAAAATGAATTTCCCATTCTCGAATTAAAGATATCAAAGTGAAAGAAAGAATGAAAAAAAAAAATTCAATGTTCCAATAACGACTCAACCAATATGATGATGATGAACCCATATAGATCAGATCAGACTGAAAACAAAAAACACAAACAACAAACATGCAAAAAGAGAAAAAAAATATTACAGAACCAAATATGGGGAAAAAAGAAGAAGAAACGACATCAACAAAAAAAAAAAAAAAAAAAAAATTTTGAAAAAAAAAAAAAAAAAAAAAAAATTTTTTTTTAAAAATTTTAAAAA